GGACTGAAATGATTTAAGGTTTGATATTATCTTGTTATCTTAAAGAGATTAATTGATGGATGGATTAGATATGTATAGGGTAGATTAATATTTTATTTTAATTAGGAGATATTAGTGGAAGAAGAAATAAATAAGTTGTGATAAAATTAAGGAACTAGAATATACTTGGAAGGGATGCCTGAATTGATAATGTGTTTATTTAAAGTTAAATTTGATTATGGTAATTGTAAATTTATAAAGCTCCAACACAGGTTTAGGATTAATAGAAATTTAAATTAGAAATGGATTATCTTAAATATATTAAGCTATTTGAGGGAAATAGAGAGGGAATATTTGATGTATTGATTTGAATTATTCATATATGGTTTTATTTCTGGATGTTTGATTACCCCTGCACCACAGTGTGTCTTGAGCACTTTGTTCTAAGAATTAAAAAACCAATAAAATTTGTTTTAAAAAAATATAGTCCTAGACTCCCTGAAGGAGGAGAAATCTGAACCCTACACCGGAACCATCTGTTTGGGTTGCGGAAAGAAGGACACTAAGGTTGAGTCCAAGGCCAAAGCCCCAGGGCCGTCCAGCAAGACCACTGAAGCCACTGTGGTCGCCGTCGCTGCCCCTACCCCCTGGCAAGCAAATGCTGCACATCGAGAGGGAAAACGCCACAAACGCAAGAAGAGGCAGCACTCCATTCAAAAATTCCTGCCGCTCGATGTGAAGTTCCGGGGTGAGCCACAACACCTAGGGTTCTTCCTAACTCAGGTTTTAAACTATATGGAAGAGTATGATCGAGACAATCCCACTGATAGTGACAGAATCCCACCCTAGATGGCATCACGGCAGACTGGATCGTGGATCTCTACAATGCCAACGCACTGGATCTGTTGAATTTCAGTCAGTTCATGTTCTCCCTCAGGTGCAGGTTCAAAGACCCATTGGCAGACAGAAAAGCCCATGAAAGAATAAAAACAGTGAAGCAGGGCAGACGACCAGTAGCCAAATATACCCAGGAGTTTCGAACCCTGGCTAGCAAGCTGAACTGGCCCGAAGACATCCTGCTCAGCCATTTTAAAAATGGTCCGAATTACGATCTCTACGATGCCTGCCTTCCCCAAGGAGATCCCCACCAGCTACAAGATTGGTACATCCTGGCCGAGGAAGCCAAGATCGACCTGCAAAGAGACAGCGCAGAGGGAGACCATGGGGGAAATCACCATCGGACCCATCCCGCAAAACCACGAAACAGCAGCCAACCACCAAGAGGACCACCAGCTGTTTCAAGTGTGGAAAAGAGGGGCATCATGTAGCAGAATGCCATTCACGTACCCCAACCGAGAAGGCAGACTGGAGCCCGGCTGCGAAGTCTGGGAAATCACCCGCAAAGCTAAAGGAGCCAGCCATGAAAGGCATGGGGACCGTTGAGTTCCCCGCAACTGCCCAGCGAGGAAAGGGAACTCCGGCCTACACAGCAAAGGCGTCCAATTCATCCGATGACAACTCCAAAGATGAACCCCTAGTAAGTGGACCCATCGTGCCCCTCTCCAGGACAGTAGCCATACTAGCCCCCACCATGCCTGAAGCTGTAGAAGTCAGGGCATTAATTGACTGGGTGTACCCGTTGCCTTATCAACCCAACCTTAGTGGGGAATCTAGGCATACTGGTGAGGAGCCTGAAGAAATCAATTTCTTTCGGTCAACTAGATGTGTCCATAGCAGGGGGGATGCCAGCTACCATAGCAACATTGCCACTCCAACTCACCCTGGGGGATCACATAGAGACTATAACATTCGTAGTGACCCCAGGCATTGAGTGCCTCATAATCCTAAGCATGGCGTGGTTGGCCAAATGGAATCCACGGGTGGATTGGCGGACAGCAGAGCTTAGGTTCCCAAAAGAGGAATCAACCAGAGTACCAATGCCAAACCCCTCCCGGGAAGCCCCGGCAGAGAAAGCGGCGGTTGGGGGTGAAAAGGAACTTCCTGAAATACCTGAGGAATACAGGGACCTAGTGGAGGTGTTCAGCGAGGAGAGGTCCAATGAATTACCACCACATTGACCTACGGACTGTGCCATAGAGATCCGACCAGGGGCGAACTCCCAAAACCCAGATTATATTCTATGAGTCCCCAAGAATTGGAGGAAATGCAGATGTTCATAGATAAAAACCCCCTAGAATGGGGGTTCATCCAGCCAGCCAAACCAAAAATGGCTACCCCTGTATTGTTCAGAGAAAAGAAAGATGGGTCGCTTTGTCTATGCATAGACTATAGGGCTCTGAACGCTATAAGTGAAAGCAACCTATACCCCCTACCCCTCATGAAAGATATGCTATCCCATCTGTCAAAAGTGAAGATCTTTACTAAATTAGACCTTAGGGAGATGTATTACCGAATCAGGATCAAGGAAGGAGATGAATGGAAAACTGCATTTAATTGTCCACTGGGGTGTTACCAATTCCGGGTTCTCCTGTTCGGACTGCAAGGGGCTCCAACTGTCTTTATGCAGCTAATAAATGACGTACTCAGGGAGCACCTGTACAAGGGCATGCTAGTTTACCTGGACAATGTCCTTATATTCACAGAGACCATGGAAGAGCATGTAAAATTGGTTAGGGCAGTCCTGAATAAACTGAGGGCAGCCCACCTCTATGCTAAATTGTCTAAATGCGAATTTCACAAGGAGAAGATAAGACTACCTGGGATATTGCATCTCCCCAGAGGACATAGAAATGGACCCTGAGAAAGTCAGGGCGGTGTTAGAATGGGCACCACCCTGCACAAAAAAACAATTGCAAAGCTTCCTGGGGTTTGCCAATTTCTGTCACCAATTTATCCCCTCATTTGCTCAAATTGCTTTACCCAACACAAAATTAAAGACCAGAGGGGAAGAAAAACCTAAACCCAGCCAACCGCTAAAATGGACAGTAGAATACCAAGCCGCATTCAAGAGACTAAAACGGCTTTTCTCTGCTAAACCCATTTTGCGACACCCTGACACTGACAAGCCCTTTGTAATTCAAGCGGACACTAGCGATGTAGCAGTGGGGGCTGTATTGCTATAAGAAAATGAGAAAGGGGACCTCCAACCTTGTGCGTACGCATCGAGAAAACTTACCCCTAAACAAGCGCGATGGTCCCAACATTTCCATTGGGGGGAAGAACTTTCTAGCAGATGCATTATCCAGAATGCCTCAATACAATAGCACCCAAACCAGTGTAACAAAACCACTCATGCCTGAACCCCATCTCGCAGCACGAGTAACTACCCGAGCATAAGCCAAGCTACAAAAGCTGTTAGCCAGCCAAGCAGGAAAGCCTTAGAAACTGTGAATGGTTCCTGAATCACAAAAACCTATGCATTATTACAGACGGACTACCCTGGGTGGGAGAGAAATTATACATACCAAAGAGTCAGAGGCTGACGTTCATGCAACTATGCCATGATTCAAAATCAGCAGGCCATTTTGGATTTGTGAAAACATTACATTTAGTTAAAAGACAGTTTTGGTGGCCATCGATCAAAAAGGACATTGAAAGCTATGTAGCCAGCTGCCCAACATGTGCATCAGCCAAGAGATTACAAAGAAAATCTCCTGGACTGCTACAACCAGTAGCAACCCCCTCAGCGCCCTGGAAGGAAATTTCCATGGATTTTATAATAGAACTACCAGAAAGCAGTGGGAACACAGACATTTGGGTGGTGACAGATCTTTTCTCCAAACAAGCACATTTATACCCTGCTCAAAAGATCCCCACTGCAAAAACACTAGCAAAACTATTTGTTCAACACATCTATTGTTTACGTGGGGCACCCCAGCGTATCATATGTGATAGGGGGGTCAGTTCACCTCAGAATTCTGGAAAGAGTTTCTGTCCCTTTTAGGGACCACTCAGGGGCTGTTATCTAGTCATCATCCTCAAATGAGTGGTGGGACTGAATGTTCGAACTCAGTACTTGAACAATATCTTAGGTGCTTTATTAATTACCAACAGACCAACTGGACTGACCTACTTCCATTTGCTGAAGTTGCTTACAACAATGCCATCTATTCCAGCACAGGCTACATGCCATTTCAAGTAGCTACAGGACAAAGCTTCAATCCAAGGCCAGAGCTATCGCCCACCGAACCTGCCATCCCCTCATTAAAGAAGTGGATTGTACAATTGCAAAATACATGGCCAGTTGTTAGAAAAGCACTAGATGAGGCTAGACAAGCATACCAAATGCAAGCAGACAAAAAGAGAATTGAACCAAAACCTTTTGTAATGGGGGAGATGGTTTACCTACCCACTAAATACCTAAAATCCCTACAACTATCAAAGAAATTAGGACCCAAATACATAGGACCTTTTCCCATCATTAGGATCATAAACCCGGTAATGGTAGAGTTAGAACTGCCAAAATCTCAAAATGCAAGCAACAGTCACCCTTAAGACCAGCTATTGCCCCTCCTCTACCTCCCATTATGGTTGAAGGAGAACAATATTTTGAAATCAAAGAAATCCTAGACTCCAAAAAACACTATGGCTTGACCCAATACCTAGTAGTTTGGAAACACCTACTGTCCTCCCAAAATGAGTGGGTCCACAAACGCCACATTAACGCCACATAAACACTACTCAACCGGTCATAAGTCGAGGACTACTCAACTGGTGCAGCACCGTTTGCAGAATGGGACTTTTGGCAGGCTCAGCAGGGCAGAGACAGCCTGGACAATTCCTATTGGCTTTTGAAAGCCAATAGAATTAGACTCTATTAGACTCCCAAAAGGGAGTAGCACAGCTAAGGAAAAGGGGAAAAAAATGGCGGATTGCGTTGTTTGGCGACCCCCGTGAAATGGTCGTTCGACCCCAAATGGGGTCCCGACCCACAGGTTGAGAACCACTGTCCTAATAAAAGCTCCTTTTGGAATAAACTGTTTCCAACAGTTCTACTTTCTTAGGATGAGGTATTGAAGTGGGCCCTGACATATTGATTTTTTTATTTTGTTATTGTTCAGGCAGGAGAAGTCTCGGTGGGAAATCCTTCAACAAGAGCAGAAACTGATGGAAGAAAAAAATAAACGCAAGAAGGCTTTCCTTGCTAAAGCAATTGCTGAAAGGTATGGAGTTCTATAGCTGGAAAAACACAGTGCACATTTTGTATTATTATATATTGGTTAATCAAGTCTGCTTCATTCTATTTTGCAATCCTCCTTCTCTAAATACAATAGAAATTAAAAATCTTTTGTCAAGGTTTTATTTAATTAGGCTTAATTTTAAGTTACAGTGTAACTATTTTTATCCTTTTTTTAAAAAGGGGTTAGCTGTATGAGTAGTTAGCTGCATTCAGGTAGGATGTAAATAAGATAAAGATACTTGAAGATATAATCCCGTTAGTTTCATAAGTTTCTGTTCATGTATCTTGAGATTTTTGCCATGAGTCCTAAATAGCATAGGCAATGGCAAATGATGGCATGAGTTCTAATTCAAAACATCTAAAATGCAACAGGTTTTCTTTCCCAAAGTTATCCTTAGAAAATCCAGGTTGAAAATTGCTGGCTACTTTTCTTCTTGCAAATGAATATGTGGCCTTGAGTACATTTAAAAAAAATTCTCTTGAGAATAATAGATATCCTTTCAGGAGAAGGATGCAGTGTAAAATGGAAGCTGTTGGCAATTTATAGTGCTGTTCAGTGAATGCTGGAATTGTGGTGTCAAGTATGATAAAACCATTTAGTTTTCCAATTTTGAGTTTCAGATGCTTGTAGTAAAGCTTTTCTCATATTAAATTGATTTGTTAGAAGCAATTACATGATTTGGCAGGGGATATAAAATCTAATAAACTGATGTCTATTTTAAGCACAATTTCTATTTTTTAAAATGTTTTCCTATATAACTTAAGTTTTCATTAGGGAAAAAAATAGAATTTCTTGGAAATCTGTCTTCCCTCTCTAGAAAATAGAATCTACTTCAGTAATTTATTTTAAAAGAATAAACAAAAATTTTGAGTGGCTTTTTCAGGCCACTGTATCGTCTATTGAAAAGCACAGTTGTTTGTAAGTATAGATCAAATGTATTTACCTGTTTCTTCCCCAGATCTAAAAGAACTCAGGCTGAAACAGTTAAATTAAAGCGAATCCAAAAGCAGCTCCAAGCTTTAGATGACATGGTATCTGCTGATATTGGGATCCTGAGAAATAGGATTGATCAGGCAAGCTTGGAATATGCATGTGCTCGGTAAGGACTAAAAGCTGAGGAATAATGTCAAATTATTACTCTTTTTCTTCTTAAAAGTGGTTTCCTTTGATTTGCTATCTCAAATTACAGTGGTTTTTTTTTTTTACAAAAAATATATTTCATCGCCATTTGCTTTATCTTCAAATTTATTTTTTTACTGCAACGCTGGTTAGCTCTGCACTGTTGTTATATTTTGCTAATATAGCCTGTGGGCACAAGTAGTTTGAAAAAAAATGACATAAAGCATCACTGTCCAGCGCTAAACAAAATTGAAGAAAGCAGCTGTGTTGGTCACAGGTCTAATTTGTTTGCATTATGGCTGAAATTGGAACTTCTTAAGTTACTCAATAAATGATGAAATATTTCAGTAACTCTCTGTGATAATTGTAACACTAAAATATGACTAATTTCAAATATCTTTAGGTTTTTATATCTTAGTAATACGTTAACTGCCAATTTTAAAAAAAAATGGCTTCCAGTAAGAAATACAGCAAGGAAATAAGAAATGGAGCATGCTAATTGCAGCAGTGCCAATGCAAAATTCTGCCCCTGCTAGCACTTTCTACATCTCAGTAGTCATTCAGGTTTTTTTAAACTGAGAATGGCTGAAAAGATATCAGACTTAAAAAGTGCAGATATTCTACTGAAGCTCAAAGGGTAAACCCACTATCCCATTCCCTGCTACTATTGGTCTTTCCTCTGTTAGGTTTGCTATTAACTTTATGTAAGCCTTTTTACAACCTTGTTAGAATACCCCCTGCTAAAACACTGTACAATTCAACATAATTAAATTATTTTTTTCAGGAAACGTTATGATAAAGCAGAATCAGAATATGTGGATGCAAAACTGGATCTCCAAAAGAAAACCGAAGTCAAAGAACAACTTGCAGAACACTTGAGCACAATCATACAGCAAAATGAACTCCGAAAGGCAAAGAAATTGGAGGAGTTAATGAAAGAGCTGGAAGTAGAAGCTGACGAAGAGAACCTGGAACTAGAGACAGAAGTAGAGCAAATGTTGCAACAGCAGGAAGCAGAAGCTAGAAGGCAAGAGATCGAGACACAAAAGCTTGCTCCAGCTGAGGTGCAGAATGCAGATCCCCAGACTTTGAGTAAAGGACATGAGAAGGAGAACCTTAGAAATGTTAATGGAGCAGCTTAGAAGTTCCCATACAGATGATCAAAGTCACACAGTAAGCTCTGTTTCTGAAAGAAATTATAATTCATCTGGAACATGTCTGATAACATTATTTTTGATATTTGAAGTCATAAAAGCACTGTCATATAATCACAAGAAGCCTTTGAGTTTATACAGTTTTCTAGTCTGTATTATTATTAAAGTACCTTTGTATGTGTGTGTGTGTGTGTGTGTGTATTTGTGTGTGAGAGAGAGTGCATGTGTGTGTGTGTATTACATATACAAATGATCTCTTTTCCTTGTCTACCTTCTTCCTTTTCACTGAGAAACCTGCATGTGATCCCTTATGAAGGGGAAAGGGTAATGTTACCTACATAATATTTAAAGTATAAAACACCATGCCAGTTAGGAGTAAGGCATTGTGTATATCTTACATGAAAATCTCACTAAATCCTATGTTATTGGCTTAGACATACTCCTCTATTAAAAAACTTATTTTTCAGTGCTCACAAATGAATATAAAAGGATATGGCTGAGCAAATCAGGAGAAAATCTGATTCTCCCAACTGCCAAATATTTTCTATCCTTGTAAGTGATTCTGTAAAAGAAAATGGTTGGGCCATTAATAAATTATGTTTCTGGACTAAACCTAATTACTGAGCAATAAAAGTGGAAATACCTTCCAATGTTTTAAATATATTATTAATTGAAGTATAAACAAATATTTAATAAATAGGAAACAAAACACTTTTAAACTCATACTTGGATTCTCACGATTCTCTAGTGATTTTATTATTTTCCCTTTTTATTTTCTTCATCTTTTCATGTTTCGCTACCATTCATGTATTGTTGTAGTGCTAATCCTTTATCCTTACTTGCATAATCAACACATGCCAAATTTCAAAATGTCCCCATTTCCAAAATTGGGTTAGTTTTTCTTGTATTGCTATGTTATGCACTAAAATAAAATGGTTTCATAGAAAATGGTTAACGTTCTTGTTTTTAAAAATAAAAAAGTTGTGGTTAAGAATTGTAAAGCCAAATAGAGTAGAGCATTTTTCCTGTAACTTCTCTATGTCTAGTTATAGTCTAGCTATAAAACAAATTAATTGTCAGAATCCAATTATATTTCATTTCTAGTTATCGACTACGGAAAACCTCATTTCTGCCCTCTCTGGATTCTGTCATACTACGAAGGGGATAGGGGAGGAGCAAAGGGGTTTTATGGCTCTCACTTCCTTCATTAAAACTTCAAAGGGACTGAATGTGGATCTCACCAAGAGGACTGACCATAACAATATGGCCATCACCTTTCATCTACTACTCTCTGAAGTCTCCCTTCTGCTGGCCGTGAGGAAAAGGGGGTGGAAATGTAATGCCTGGGATTGTTGCTGGTTGGGGGCTGCTTGGGAACACTTAAAACCTTGAATGGTAGGGGTTGGCCCCTCAGATCCTGTCTAGAACGCCTGCAACCATCGTCTCTTAATAAAGATGCCTGTTGGAAGAGATATTCCAAGAGTTCTGTCTTAAGAAGTAAAGTGGGGTGGGTCCTTACATTAGACAGGATCTGCAGAATTAGTCCACCTGGAAGGGAGAACCATGCCAGAGGACTTTGCAAAAATTACCATGTCAGGTGACAGAGCAGGGAAGAGAGAAAACTCCCCGAAAAGGGAGCCGCTGCCCCTACTGAAACCCTGCCAGATGTCGGGATCTGAGAGGTCAGATTCCTCAGAAGAAGAGGTGGTGCAGACACGTGACTACAAACCTCGGTGGTCAATGGGCGTTGGAAAGAAAAGTGAGTGGGGAAAGGAATCAAGAAAGATGACCCTGAGACGGGGGGCCAAGCAACCAGAATGGAAGCAGGAGATGGAGAAATCCCTGCACGCAAGTGAAGAGGGAGAAAGCTGGGCACTGTACTCAGACTGGATCCTAGAGAAAGCTATTGACCTGATGAAGAGAACTCTCAGCTGCCTAGGAGAGGAGAATCCTGAGCCCTACGGGCGCCCCAGCTCCTGGAGCCGCCTGGTAGCCGAATATAGGCAAGAATTCCAGGCCATTGCCAGCAAACTGAACTGGCCGGAAGACATCCTCATTAGCCATTTCAAAGACGGGCTAAACTACGACCTATATGACGCTTACCTGCCCTGAGGGGACCCACACCAACTTGATGAATGGTACGTCCTGGCAGAAGACGCAGAGATTGACCTACTGAAGAGGCACCATCGAGGAAAACAATGGAGCCGCTCACTGCCTGAGTTGACACGTGAACCAATGAAACCATCAGCTACAGAAAAGAAGCAAATGGGGTGTTTCAAATGTGGGAGAGAGGGGCATCAGGCTTTAGAATGCCGCTCAAAAGCCCCCCCAGCACAGCTCAGACAGATCACCGGCAAGCAGATCCGGGAAGTCTCCAGCTAAGCCAAAAGAATCTGCCATGAGTGATGGAGGCTTGGAATCCCCTACCTCTGTCCGTCGTGGGGAAAGAACTCCAGCCTACACCGCAGGGCCGGTGGACGCCTCAGATGACAATTCAGAGGGCGAACCTCTGGTAAGTGGACCCATCACACCCATCCTCAAGACAGTGACTATATTAATTCCCCCCATGCCCGAAACTGTGAAGGTGAAAGCCTTAATAGACTCTGGCTGCACCTGCTGCCTCATTAGCCCGACACTAGTGGGTAATCTGGGCATTCCGTCAAGGAGACTGGAACAACCAATCTCATTTGGCCAGTTGGATGGGTCCATAACGGGGCGTGCCAGCTACCCTAGCCACTTTACCAATATACCTCTCCCTGGGCAAACATGAGGAAACCATAACGTTTGTAGTGACCCCGGGCATGGAATGTCCGATGATCCTAGGGATGAAATGGTTAAAGAAATGGAACCCCTGGGTGAATTGGAGGACGGCAGAAATCATTTTCATGAAAGAGGACCCTATGGACTTAAAATCCCAAGGGGAGCTACCAAAATTAATGGAAAAAGCATCCATGGGAAAGGAGAAGGGACTACCAGAAATACCAGAGGAATACAGAGATCTTGCTGAAGTTTTCAGTGAGGAGAGGGCAGATGAACTCCCCCCCCCACCGACCCACAGACTTTGCCATTGAATTCAAGCTTAGGGCAAAACTCCCGAAGCCCAGATTATACTCCATGTGCCCAAAGGAGAAGGAAGAAATGGAAAGATTAATAAAGAAAAACCTAGAAAGGGGGTTCATTGAGCCAGCCAAGCCTAAAGTAGCCACCCTGGTCCTCTTTAGAAAGAAGAAGGACGGCTCTTTATGCTTATGGGTGGATTATAGGGTCCTGAATACAATCAGTGAAAGCAACCTATACCCCCTGCCCCTCATGAAGGACATGTTGTCACACCTCTCGAAAGGGAAAATTTTTACTAAACTAAGGGAAGCTTACTATTGCATAAGAGTTAAGGAAGGGGATGAATGGAAGACCACATTTAACTGCCCAATGGGGTGCTACCAATTCAAAGTCTTGCCATTTGGATTACAAGGGGGCCCTGCAGTCTTTATGCAATTAATCAATGATGTTCTAAGGGAGCACCTATTTAAGGGGGTCCTGGTTTACTTAGACGACATTCTTATCTTCACCGAATCAAAAGAGGAACATGTCAACCTAGTCAGAGTGGTTTTAAAGAAACTGAGAGCCACCCACTTATATGCCAAACTCTCGAAATGCGAATTCCACCAGTAAAGGATAGACTACCTAAGTTATTGCATATCCCCACAGGGCATTGAAATGGACCCAGAGAAGGTCAGAGCAGTACTAGAATGGGCACCACCCTGCACAAGAAAGCAACTGCAAAGTTTCTTGGGCTTCGCAAACTTTTACCGCCAATTCATCCCCTCATTTGCCCAGATAGCCTTGCCCCTCACGAACTTACTAAAAATGAAGGGAGCATCCTCAGTAAAACCTAGCCAGCCACTAACATGGACAATGGAGTGCCAAGCGGCGTTTGAGAGATTAAAGAGACTTTTTTCTGCCAAACCAATACTGAGGCACCCAGACATGGATAAGCCCTTCGTAATACAGGTGGATGCAAGTGATGTGGCACTGGGGGCTGTACTATTACAAGAAAACGATGAAGGGGTATTGCAACCCTGTGCGTATACATCCAAGAAACTCACAGAAATGGAACAGCGCTGGCCTGTGTGAGAGAAAGAGGCATACAGGATACGTTGGTCATTACTCACGTGGCACCAGTTCCTTGAAGGCAACAAAATCCCTTTCCAGGTTTGGATAGACCACAAAAAAATGGAAGCCTTGAAAACACCCAGGAAGCGCAACCCCAAGCAAGCCCGCTGGTCCCAGCATTTTCACCAATTCCACTTTATGCTCAAGCATTTGCTAGAGGGAAAGAACTTCCTGGCAGATCTTGCATGCCCCAATATAACAGCACGCGAGCCACCGACTCTAAACCAATGATGGTAGAATCACAACTGGCAGCGCCAGTAACTACCAGAGCCCAAGCTAAATTAAAACCACAGCTGGGCAGCCAAACCTGAATTGAATTCCGGAAAAGTTTGGAAACAGATGAATGGTTCCAGAAAAATAAACACGTGTGCACAATGAAAGACGGGCTGCCTTGGCTGGGGAAAAAGTTATATATACCAACAGCCCAAAGAGTCACATTCATGCAGCTTTGCCACGACACAAAATCAGCAGGGCATTTTGGATTTGTAAAAACATTACACTTAATTAAATGGCAATTTTGGTGGCCATCCATAAAAAAGGACATAGAAAGTTATGTGGCCAGCTGCCCAAAGTGTGCAACTGCAAAGAGGTTGCAAGGGAAATCGCCCGGACTGTTACAAACAGTGGCAAATCCCTCAGCCCCCTGGAGGGAAATAGCCATGGATTTTATAGTGGAATTATCAGAAAGCAATGGGAATACTGTTGTCTGGGCAGTCACAGACTTGTTTTCCAAACAGGTGCACTTTATCCCTTGCCAAACGATTCCCACCGCAAAAGCCTTAGCAAAACATTTCATCCAGCATATTTACAGATTGCATGGGGCATCCCAACGCATCATATCTGATAGGGGAGTGCAATTTAAGTCTGCATTTTGAAAGGAATTTTTATCCCTCTTAGGGACCTCTCAGGGACTGACATCCACAAGGAAATGGACAAGCAGAACATTCTAACTCAGTACTTGAGCAATATTTAAGATGCTTTCTTAATTTCCAGCAAACAAATTGGATGGACCTACTCCCTTTCGCAGAAGTTGCTTACAATAATTCAGTCCACTCCAGCACAGGTTACACTCCTTTTCAAATAGCTACCAGTCAAAGTTTCAACCCCATGCCAGAACTAACCCCAAACGCACCGGTGATCCCATCACTGAAAGAATGGATGGAACAATTACAAAACACCTGGCCAATAGTTAGAAAAGCACTAGATGAAGCTAGGCAGGCATACAAAGCACAAGCCAATAAAAACATTAATTCATGTTAAGAGCCATTGCAGTTGTTACCTGTTTATTTCCATAATGTAAAAATCACAACATATCATGGTCTACTGACTAACTTGGTATTAGATGGGTATTTGATAGATCAAGCTTACTTATATGCTACAGTATCATCAGAGAAATTAAACAAGGCAGACTCTTTTCATCTCTTTGGAGTGAAAGCAGATAATGCTTTTGAGGACAGGAAAGATTATTTGAAAGCACACTACTTTTGATAAACTTGTTTCTTTTATTTGTACTGTAGTAAATTATGAAAAGTAATTGAATGTTCTTATTATGGCTCAGAAAAAAGTGGCAATGTCAAAGAGGAGTCACTATAAGGTCATACTAGGACCAAAGAATCTATCATAAATATTGTTAAATGTTGAGTGTGTTTTCCCCTAAATGTATGGGTCACACTGATATTTAAGGTATAAAACAGCAGGATGCAGGGATCAATATAAATTAACAGCTCTTTACTTAGCTCAGATTTTGAGTAATATTTCTTGACCATTTCAGCAAAGCAAGACAAGAAAAGACAACTTTACAGG